GAGTCTGTAGGAAGCCTCCCACGGACTCCACTCAATTGGCTGTTTCCTAGCAACACACCCACCACACTGTCCACAAGCCCAGAGATGGCCCTTCAGCGGCTCAGTACAGACAGAAAAATCTGCCACCAGCATCTCATAAGGGGCCTGGCAACCTTCCTCCACAGAGGGGCCTTATTCCTGGCACTTCCTGGTGGAGACTTGCAGCGCTGTAAAAGCAATGTTAGGGTTCTTATTGCCTGAATACCAGAGTTTCAGATGGACGCTTTTCTGCCTACCACATCCCCAAGAGCAGAAAACAGGGCATCAGACCCCCCTTCCCACCGTGTGTGTGTGTGTGTGTGTGTGTGTGTGTGTCTGTGTGTGAAGAGCAGCCAGTGAGCCATGCAGATGTCGCAGTTAACCTAGTCTGTCCTAAATGCCACAGCAGTCACTCATATCCACAGAGCAAGTGCTCCTGTCTATTAACATGGTGTGGATGTTAGGTAACATCATGTAATGGTTATTTCCTCCAGGGTCACCACCCAAGAGCATCTGTCTGATTCAGGGAGGGAAGTAGAGGGTAAAGCTAGCCTATAACCACAACTAACTGTCATTAAATGGCAGCTGCAGGCCCCAGGTTGGGAGTTGTGTATGCACACTAGAGACTGCCAACCCTCAACCACTCAGGCATTGCTGATTATTGTCAATTGCTCTTCCAACATTGAGTGCTTGAGAGGACCACTCAGGTCACACCAAAGACAGCATCCCCCTACCCACTCCCAGAAATCCATCCTAACTCCATCATCATCATCATCATTACTTTTGCTGGTCTGATAAAAATCTACCAGAAAATTGAACCTAAAGTACTGAAGCCTGCAATTCCTCACTGTCGTGTGCTGTACCTCTCTCTCTCCCATTCTATCCTACCCCTGTACTCCCTTACACACTCTAACTTCTCTCTGTGGTACTCTGTAGTGGGATATTCACTTTGTCTCCTTCTGTGGCACTGACCACGCCCATTGGGGGGTGGAGCCATGGGCGGAAGTGACCTGTGGAAGGAGGTCGGAGGGGGCCAGGAAAGGCTCTCTCTTTCTGGCGTGACTCAGACAGGAGAGGATCGGGTTGAATTTCCTGGTGTTCATCTGTCTAGGTTGTAAGTTATTTCTCCCTGAATAAACATCTATTCGGCCTATTTGTTTATCCTGATCCTTATTTACCGCAATAGTACTCTACTACATATTAAGTGTAACACGAAAAAATAAAAGACCCAGAGACTGACATTGGACTTCAAACTTCAAGCTGAAGGTCAGTAGGGCAAAGCAACCAGCCACTAGCTCTCACCTCTAGCTCAGGCTCAAAGGGCTGATCCACATACGAGCTCTTCGCCAGCTCTCAAACTGCTGCCTCTCCTCAGCATGGCTGGAGAACAAATGCCTCATACTGAGACCTTGCTTCTGTCTTTTATACCCCCTCTAGTGCTGGAAATAAAGGTGTGTGATCTGTTATTCTTTTAGACGAATTCAATCTCATGTATCCCTGGTTGGCCTTGAACTCAGAGAAAACAGTCTACCCCTTAATCCTGAGTCCTGGATTAGAGGTGTGTACCATCACCTCCTAGCTTCTGGCTGCTGGGATTAAAGGTGTGCATCACCACTGCTTGATATCTGTAGCTTGAAGCTGTCTTTGCTTTTCTGAATCCTCAGGCATGCTTTAGTAAATCATAAATAATATATCACTACACTTAACATTTGTGTTTATGTCTTTGGAATGTGTATGTGTTCGTGTTCAAACTGTAGACCTCTGGAAGAGCAGCCAGTGCTCTTAATCCCTGAGCCATCTCTCCATCTCCCCAGCTAATTTTTGAGACAAGGGTCTTTCACTCATTAATTGGATAGGGCTAGTTGGTCATGGAGCTTCTGGGATCTTCCTGTCTCTTTGTTCCCAGCACCAGGATATCAGGTACATACTACTGTACAGGACTTCTTCTTATGTGGGTTCTGGGGATCTGAACTCAAGTTGTACTTGGCCATCAGACGTTTTACCAACTGAGCCATCTCCTTAGCCCATTTTTTTTGTAATAGAAATCTTTTTAAAATTCCATTCTATCTTCTGGAAAGTCTGAACTTCCCATTCTCTTTTCTGTTTCTCACACCATTGGTACCATTGTTCTGTGATATCTAATGATAATTAACCAGAGGTCTCTCCTTGGCCTAGAACTTGCTGAGTAGATTAGGCTGGCTGGCTCCAGAGTCCCAGGAAATCTGCCTGAATCTGCCTATGTAACATTGGATCACTAGCCTATGAGTTTTTGTTTTGTTTTGTTTGATGTGAGTTTTTGAGGATTGAATTCAGGGCCTCATACTTGCAAGGCAAGCACTTGACTGACTGGGTTGTCACGTGAGCTTCCTCTCTTTCCACAAAGCAACCAGTCTTCAATCTCTGAGGCTCTGGTCTGATCACCCAATCCCAGTCACACCCCAGAAGCCCTTCTGCTACATGGCACAGATTAAGTTTTCTCCCTCTGAATGGTTGCCAGGATTAGACTTCAACATGAGCATTCAGACAACATGAGCCATTCAAAGGATAGTGCACAATATGAACATGACATCGAGATTTATCTATCCAGGTCCCCTTTGTCATTGGTGCCAGTGTGTTGCAGGTTGATAGCCCAGATGCTTGGGTTTTGCCTAAAATAAGCAACGCGGGGCTCCCCAGGGGAACAAAGGGCTCTCCTGGGATCAACACGTGAGCAGAGCGCCCCTGCAGGGGCTGTGGAACTTTAAAAGCTGGGCTTTTAAAATTTATTTTTTCTTCTCCCGTGCATGCCAAAATATTCATATCATTTCCCAGTTAACTGCAGTTTTTCTGTACTGTATCATCTTCTTGGAATATTAACAGCACACACCAACGAGTATGTTTTTGTATGTAAATTTACACGGCCATTCATATTTTCTCACTCATTTCCCTCCGTTGGCCTCATAATAGAATTGAAAAGTCTCCTGTTGGCTAAAGGGTTAATGATGTAGCGTTGGGATCCCCTTCACCTCTCAGGAGGCTTAGCTTACATATGTGTTTTCATTTCTTTATTAGGAAAGACTTCGGGGGAAGAGGCTAGCCTTTGACTGTGCCTTCTGTGTACATTCATAATAAAAGCTGGTACATTCATGGCTGCTCCATGATGTAGAAGAACCAGTGAATGAAAGTTTGGGTACAGCTCACCTCGAAGAGAGTGGTCCTGCTTCACCCAGACCTGACCCGAGTGGTCTCAGCATCCTTATAAAGCTAATTTCCCCCCTCCCTCTGCGTAGGCTTGTCTCTCCCTCCTAGCATTTTTGTAATACATCTGGGTGGTGTTATTATTATTTTTTTCTTTCTCTCTCTCTCTCTCTTTTTCCCACACTGCTGTTGGATAAAAGATCCCGCCCTTGATTGAAATGGAATCTTCCACTATTGAGCGAGCCTTTGTTGAATGAGTCATCGGCGCAGCCGCTCATTGGCTGAGGCCGCCTGAGCCCAGGGGATTGCCTGGCACTGGCTGCAAGGCCCCGCTCCATTCACAGAAACGCTGGCTTGCTCGCTGGCCCTTTCATTCACACAAACAGCATCTCATTCACATTCTGTCGTTTTTTTGTCTGCTTCTAATGAAGACCACGGTTTGGGAATGGTGGGGCTGACTTGCTTCAGATTGGAGGGGGACTCTAATCACCATCGAAATCGTCCGTGGGGTGCGCATCTGCTGTTGCTATGCAAGCTAGGGGAAGGGAAAAAAGAGAGCGCGGGGTGGCTGCTGGGCTAGGGCTGCGGCGCGGTTGGAGAGCTGGTAGGGACGCGTTTGCTGTGCCGGGGCGGGCCAGGGCTCTGCGCTCCTTCGTCCTCTGGAGCCCGCCGCACTCGCGCCGCCATGGGTGGCGCTCCCTAAACTCCGGTCCTGGGGCTCCCAGAAAGCCGGGGAACCTCACAGCCACCTGAGATCAGCCCTGGGCATGAGAAGAGTCAGGGTGACCTGCCAGTGTGCTAGAAGGCAAAAACATTCGCTGGCACAGAAGTTACCGGGAAAACTTTGACAGCGACTGACTGACTTCCCTGTGGTGCAGGTTATCTATCTTAACGCATGAGGCCACCTGGCAGAGGCCACCGAGGAAGGGGTCAGTGGGTCTCAGAATCTTGGACAGACCTTCCGGGAGGCTGTCGGTGTCCTGTTCTCCTAAACGCCAGGAAGAAGGCCTGTGTGTGTCACTGCAAGCCTGAGCCTGACTCCCAAGGATGAGGCCGTTCTTGCTGTGGATTTGATGGGCAGTTAGAGCAGCCGCATTTTTTTCTGCCTGACTGCAGGGCTGCAAAGCAGCAACCGAAGGGACATTGAAATGGATTGATGGTGTTACTAAGGCGTGCTTCCAGGGCTTAAACACATTCAGTTGGCATAAAGCTCTTTTCTCCCTTTGCTTTTTTGGCATGGATTTCTGGAGCCTGTTGCCGCTCATCAGAGAAGCACTACTCCTTTTTGGAAGTAGATTTTCAACTTAACCCTGACTGAGAAAGGCTGCTGACTGCTGTGAATGATCAGGGAAGCCCCTTGAGCTGTACTGAGAAGGAGTCCATGTGCAGATTTGGTTTTTTCGGGTGTTACCCGAGGAATTGCATCGCCACAGACACCCGCCAGCAGACACTCATGGCTGCTCTGTGGATCTGAACAGGAAAATCAAACCACGGGAAACTGATGCCTTTTATTATATTCACCTGACGGGTGAAGGGTTCCCTCTTTTCTTCTTACTTAAAAATTCTTGCTACTTTCCAAATCAGGATTCATCAGGGTTCGCCTGAAGACTTCTTAAAAAGCCTTCGTCACATTTTAACGCATCGCTGTCAGACACTTCTGGGGCTCACCCACATGAGCTGAGCAAGGGAAGAACAAACCATGGAATAATGGGTTTTGGAAAGTTCAAGAGATCATTTGAAGGAGCTGGGTTTACCTTTGGTGCAAATGTGGGATGGGGAAGGGGTAGGTGAAAAAAATCAAAGACTGAAGGAGATATCTGCGAAGGTAGAGGAAGGAAATTTGAGAACTGATTGGCTGTAGTTGCTGTCAGCGGGTGGATGTCGTTTTCTTCTCTCTCTCTCTTTTTGCTACAGGAAGTGGTTTGCGGAGCTCACCGAGCCTTTGTTGAGAAGGGTCTCCTCAGAGTGAGTCACGCTTTTGCTGGGAGCAGCCCCGTGCAGCTGGGCGCTCCATCAGCGGCAACTATGACTTTTGCAAGGCAAGCGTTCCACCCTAACCCGTGGTCTCCCGGGCCCGCGCTGCGCGTCTGCTGCTCTGCTGCCTTGTAACGGTGTGAGGACTCGGTCTTCGGCCTCGGCGGTCCCTTTCCGGAAAGGCTGTCCTGGGACCCCAGCTCCTTGTCCCGCTCCGGGGCTCGCGGCTAGTGTGCTATGCGCGGCAGCCCGCGCCGGGGCCGGCACCAGCAGCGCCCGGGCGGATGCGGCGAGCTAACGGAGGGGCATGCTTCCACGCACCAAGTACAACCGCTTCAGGAATGACTCGGTGACATCGGTCGATGACCTTCTCCACAGTCTGTCGGTGAGCGGCAGCGGCGGCAAGGTCTCGGAGGCGGCGCCCGCGGCGACCCCCTACCTGGTGTCGGGCGAGGCGCTGCGCAAGGCGCCGGACGATGGGCCCGGCAGCCTGGGCCACCTGCTCCACAAGGTGTCCCACCTGAAACTCTCCAGCTCCGGCCTGCGCGGCCTGTCGTCCGCCGCCCGGGAGCGGGCTGGCGCGCGGCTCTCGGGCAGCTGCAGCGCGCCCAGCCTGGCGGCCCCGGACGGTGGCAGCGCGACCCCCGGGTCCCGCGCCCAGGCCACCAGCATGAGCGCCACCAGGAAGAGCCGGGCCGGCGATGAGCCGCTGCCCAGGCCCCCGCGGGGCGCGCCTCACGCCAACGACCAGGTGCTGGGACCCGGAGTCACCTATGTGGTCAAGGTGGGTAACCGAAGCACACAGCTGGGCGAAGGTTTCGGGGCCGGGGTGCGTGGGGGATTCGGGGCGGCTGGGGACAAATGTCTGAAGCCCCAAGGTAGGGGAACACAGACGACATTTGAATATGAGGAAATGCGCCCTCCTTAGCCATCCTCTTGCTCGACAGGGCAAGGAGTGAACTACAAATGTGCCTTTCTCATGTAGGTGGGGTAGAGGTTGAACTGTCTGGTCACCGCGCAGGGGGCCTGCTTTGCCCAGGACACTGTTGTTGAGGCATACTTCTGCCACCTGGCTTCATCAGAAGCCCTGCCAGTGTCCCCTCTCTCTAGGAGTCCATCCTGAGATCATGATCTGGCCTACCAGAAGTACACTAGTTAGACCTGGCAGCCACCACCTCCCCTACACACACAACTTCTGAGTCCTCCCCCTGCGGCGGGGTGGGCCATATTCCCCTCCTGAGCAAGAACGCCCAGCTCCTGGACGGTAGCCACAGCCTTGCTTCCTATGAGACGGGTTCTAGTGTCTTACCTGGAAAGATATTCTTTGGCCTTGGATTGTTTTGGTTTACAGCAGTGGAAGGGAGTCACCCCCCTCCCCGTGATGGTGATAGTAGTCTTCCCTTTAAATGGGCTAAGAGGGGTGGTTAAGGTTGTGTTTCCTGGACCCACAGACTGGAAAGGAGGTTTTCTTGCAACACAGAGAATGACAATTTTTTAAAGAACCACAATGTAATTGGTGAAATTCCTGCAGTGCACAAGCAAGCTGTGGCGTCGAAGGAACTCAGCCCAGCTCAGTTAATCTACCTGGTGCCCATGTCCTCCAGTCTGACCAACTAGAGCAGCCTCAGCTTCTCCCAGGTGAGGGCCAGGAGCGTTCAGGGGCTTGTTTCAGTCCTGCCACTCAGGCATGGCTTTTCTGACAGAAAACAGAAGCTCTCCCAGACACCAGGATTAACAAACCTGTAGGCTGTAGCACTAGTTGCAGATTCAATTTACAAATTCCACAGGGCACATCTTCAGGTGAAATGCAGTATCTTGGCAGCTTGGAACCAAATCCCCAAAGGAATGCATGTTGTCTTTGACTGTATAAGACACATAGAAAGAGTGTGGCCACTGTAGCCTTTCCCACACTCGTCTGCCCTTTAATTTGACCTCTCAGCTACTGAACACAGGTCATATGTCATCATCGTATTTTAGCAAAAGGGACACAGATCAGCATAAAACATACACATTTGGTTGAGTTTATCTTTAAAAGGATGAATATTGTTTTATTTAAATCATATGTCCAAGGGACAAGGAGTAAAACCGAGCGAGCAAACAAAAACCAAACCGTGACAACCTGGAGGTTAAGCCATGACAGTAATGTGTTTATTATCTGTTAGTCTCATAATTGCATCTTATGATTCTTTTTGTGAAGCTTTTAAAGTAGGCAAAATAGAACTGAGAAAAGCTGTTTTTGTGTGCGAGGCAGAACACAGAGGGTTGTTTTCAAAATGAGGGACAATTCTCAAACTCATGCTTTAAAAGAACCATTCCCCTGGAAGTCAGATGTGCCATTTCCCAAGGAGCCGGTCAATGAGACAAATTGAAATGGTATTTTGGGGAGAAAAATCACTTTGCCTAAGGCTTTGCCCTTGTCCAATAGGAAGATAGTGGGCTTAGCCTGGACTTTCTATGTGGGGATAGTTTTGAGTTATGTCAGAGTCAGCATCAGTACATCAAGGGCCAGAAAGCTGATTGGGTCTACTCTGAAGCTACTTGTGTCCTCAAGGGAGATGTCACAGCAGTGCCTCAGGGGCACTGGCACATGGAGGTACATGGCACCTGCTACCAGTGACCTGGAATGTCCTCTGTTGCCCCTTTGGTTGTCAGCAGCTGTGAACGGTGGTGTCCTGTGAGCATAAGTGCAGGGGTGGTCCCTGTATCCCTGGAGAAGCCTGAGATCACCCAGGAAGAAATCCAGACACCAAAGGACAATTGCAGTCCTTGTGAACATGTCCCCTTCGGCTAATCAAATGGCCCTCTGTTGGCACATGTGAGCAGAGTTCCCACATTGGCATGTTGAGTTTTAAAATGACTTGTTTTATTGAAAACCTGAAAATCTCTTAATTTAGTGTTACTGATGAATGAAGGATTCTTCTGATGCTTCAAAAGCCTGCATTTTATAGCAGGAGCTCGGTTCTAAAGTCTCAAGGGTTACAGTTTGTGAAATCACTTTAATTCCATTGGATATAGTTCTGTTTTCTAAGTTAAAGAAATCCCCAGGTGCTTTCCAGTCTTGTGGAACATTCCTACACGGCATCGTCACAGGTTTTCTACAAGAAGTACCTAGGGGTAGGTGGTGATGGGATGTTGTATACAGGGGTGATAACTCTCAGATACTTCATCTATTTGGCAGGGGCACTGTAGACACTGAAGACTGATGGGGTTTGATTGTCTACACAACATCAAACCATTACTTCATCAGCTGCTAACATTTCCAGTGAAGGATGGAAAAATGAAAGCTGAAAAACATGTTCGTAATTCCAAGCTAACAGCACATTTAACCCGTTTTTTTCAGCTATCCTGAGCCTGCTGTTAGTTTATCCTTTCCTTCCTTTAAAAGATTTTCCTTTCTTCAGACAGGGTCTTAGGATACTAAGGTCTGGGATACAGCCTAGATTTGAACTTACTATATAGTCAGTGGGGACCTTGAACTTCTGATCCTTCTATCTCTACCTCTATGTGGAAATTGTAGGTGTGTACAAACCTGACTGACTCATGGAGATGCCGGGGGGGGGGGGCTGGGGATCAAACCTGGGGCTTCCAGTATCTTAGGCGAGCATTCTGTCAACTAAGCTGTAGCCCTCAGCCTGCTCTTAAATAAGGGCAGGGGCTTTTCCTCTCTAGGAGGGCTTAGGTTTAGACTACTGCGAGCCAGGCCTCAAGGGCAACACCATTTTATCCCTCCAAGTATTCCAGACACTTGTTTAATTGTGGTAACACAAAAGAGAAAGAACAAGAAACCATGCCCTGGATAGACAGAACAGGAAAACCCGACAGTAAAGAGCCATAAATAGTGTGCTATGTGCCTTTCTAAAGCTTGCTTCCTGTTTGGAGGTAACAGTCAGCCAGAGATGGCTGGAGATAAAGGAGTGCTGTTCTGAAGCCGCTCACCTGTGTGGGATGTGGCTGCTGTGTGGATCACTCAGGGTGCTCTTCCTTCTCGCCTGGTTGCAGTAGGGAACTAGGAAAGCTAGTCTGAGCCTGGCCCTAAAGAATCTCTGACGACAAGGTTTCAGGTTCGGGTTTAGAACTGTTTGGTGGATGCTGAGACTACAGTTATCAGGTGTGACGCTGTGGTCTGCTCTAGGCCAGACTTTGCCTCCAACTTGGTCCTCACAAGAAGGGCTCTTTAGAATGAAGACTTTTAGGTCTAAAATCCATATATGAGTGAGTACATGTTCCTCTTTTTGTGACTGGGTTACCTCATTCAGGATGGTTTCTTCAAGTTCCATCCACTTGCCTGCGAATTTCAAGATTCCAATATTTTTTTCTGCAGAGTAGTATTTTATTCTAGAGCAAAGGATCACCAGCCTATAATTCACACCACCAGAGGAACTAGGATACAAGGTGTATTCTAAGAGATTCCAGAGCACAGGGGAAGTGGGGGGGGGCAGTGAATGGAGAGAGAAGTAGGAGAAAGAGAAGGGGAGGAGAGGAAAGCACGTGTGACTAGGAAGATTGAGTCAGGGTAGGAATAGAAGACAGGAGAGAGAGAGAGAGAGAGAGAGAGAGAGAGAGAGAGAGAGAGAGAGAGAGAGAGAAGGAGAGAGAGAGAACATAAAAGAGGGAGCCATTATTGGTTTGAAGAGAAAACTGAACCTAAAGAAAGGTCTAAAGACTTACAAGACTGACCCCAACTAACAATCTGAGCAACTGTGGAAAGACTACCATAAATGCCCTTCCCAGATAGTGAGATCAACAACTAACTTATCCACCATCATGGGGCCCTCATCTAGTGTCTGTTGGAAACAGAAGCAAACACCCACAACTAAACACTGAGTTGAACTAGAATCCAGATGCAGAGAGAGAGGACAAGGCCATGTTGCAGAAACACATAGAGACAACTGACCTGAACAAGGAGGAGCTAATGGGCCCCCAGACTGATAGCTGGGAATCCAGCATGGGGCTGACTCAGACCCCCTGAACATGGGTCTCAGCTAGAAGGACTGAGCAGTCTAAGGGACTCCGGACAGTGGAACAAAGATGTATTCCTGATGCACAAAAGGACCTTGCGGATGGATACTCCCTTAACCTAGAGATAGGAGAGAAGTCCTAGTCCCTACTTCAAATGACTTGACAGATTTACATGACCCCACCTGGATGGCATTGCCCTACATGTGGAATTGGGGTGGGGGATGGGAAGGGAGGGTGGCCAGGGTGCATGTGAGGGGGTAGAGAGGGTAAAAGGCAGGGAGGGAGGGAGAGAGGGAGATGGTACTGGGATCAACATGTAAAAAAAAAAAAAAGAAAGAAAAAGAAAAAAAAAAAGAATGAAGACTTTTAAAGTCTGGGGGGGGGGTGGTTGATGTGCTGAGACGTGAACACATTTAGGGCAGGCCCAAGTGCCAATAACCAACATAAGAAGATTCAACTGAGAAGCAACGGCTGGAGGCTACGCACAGAGCTATGGACACAGTGGTTGCTACCCAGGGAGCTGGCAGGTTAGGGTGTTCACAAGTCCCTAGCTGTATTTTAGCTTGAGCAAAAATGACAAGCTATCTGTGGAAATTTCTTCCCCCTACTATTAGGCATTGAACCCAGGGCCCCAAAATGCTCAGCTGGAGTTCAACCAGTGAATCCCCAGTGCTATAGGAGGTTTTTACCAACTAAAATGGAGGCGCTATTCCCTGGAATGTTGGGACAAGTTTTCTTCTGGAATGAAGTTTTTGGTTTTTTGTTTTTTTTTAATAAACTCTTTTAAAATAATTTTATTTCTCTGGTTTACGAAACTGGTGACAT